GGATTACCGTGTCCTCCCCCTCTCTTCGGACTTCGGATAATCCTATAATATGCCAGCGTAACTTGTTTATCTGCCTGCGTTGTAGGTTACCAGGTCGAGTTGTCTTAGGTGGCAACCGAACCGAACCTCCACCGGAGATTCTTAGCACCCCCTGCACCGCCGTTACCATGGTCGTCACCGTAGCCAGGAATACCGGGGCCGCCGGGGACTGGGGGCCGTCTCTTTGTTGCTCTCATAATTGGGGGGTATTTACCATAGTTGCCATGCTTGGCGAGCGGGTTGGCAACCGCAGTATTTTTATTGTAAGTTTGTTGTTATCAGGAAGATGCTGCTGCCCATCTCCTGCCTGTTTCCCTTTGTCGCCTTTTACGACACTCACGGGAAGACATTGGGTAGTGTATATTCTTAACCGCCACTATACGGCAATTATTTTCTTATTATCAGAAGTTAAGTTTTCTCTTTCCGTTTAGTTATTCTTGTAATCTTCTTCAACTTTTTAGCTTTATCTAGTTCTTCTGCTTCTTCAGTTGATATAGATTTACCAGGTACAACTGTAAGCTTACTGTTTTTGCCTGTTTTCATAAGCTGTGATCATCTGTTTCGCTGTAAAAACTCCAAAAGGCTGGCATCAAACTGACGAGTATTTTCTTCTTGTACTGTTGGTATTTTTAATGTCACTCTTGAGGGATTGCAAGGGAATATTCCAGATCCTTCAAATCCTTTACGTATATTGGTCTCTTTTGTCACGTCTATTTTAGTCATTAGCTCCTGCATTAGCTGTGTGAAATGGCATTTGTTGATTGTGTTTACAGTGTTGTATGTAATTTTATAATTTGTTAAAATTTCCCTCCAAATTCGTTTCATAGGTCCAAAAAATGCAACGTCTAGCGGCTGATTTCTGATGTTTTTATTATGACATATTTGAATTGTCTCGACACTTAAGTGCGATGCCAGGTTATCACCGATGATAAGTTTAACGCCGTCTAGAGAGTTAGCCCATGGCAAAACCATGCTCTTAAACCAATCATCACAACATATCATATCGAACCATCCGGATTAGGTTCGGTTATACCGAGCATTTTTTGGTCCATTCTCACACCACCTGGACCACAAGTAATCTGCCTTATAAACCACATAGGGTGATAGACCATTGCCATCAGCAGTTCCGCTAAACATTATTGAAACTGCACATTTGCTTGCATTAATAACCTTTTCCGGGTGTTTTGTTCCTCTTTTAAAAATACCCTTTTTTGGCCCCGGGTCGTCACTTAAATTTGTCTCATCGAAATTAAGAATATTGCTGGCAGGAACATCTTTTAGTGAAGTTTAAAGATTCTTGAAATATTCATTTATTTCCTCTACTGTTTTCGCAGCACGACTTCTTTTTATATTTTGTGTTGCCCTTTGGGAAAAATTGGAACGTTGTAAAAAAGCACGGGCCCAAAGTTCACCTGGCATTTTTCCTTTGAAAAGATAATCTTTTCCGCGTTTTACTAAGTAGTTGTAAACTACAATGCGCAAATCTAAAATAGTAAAATGACAGCCAAATTCAGCAGAAAGTTTCACTACGTCTGCGATATGGGCTTCTTCCTCTGCTGATAACTCTGTGGGTCGTCCAAATTGTTTGTTATGAATGTTTTTCGATTTATTAAGAATGGTCCGATGCGGGATCCCAAACTGCTTTTCCGCTTCGTATGATGAAATAAATTTATTTCGCACGAGATCCGTTGGTGAACAGTATCAGTTGGCATTGGTCTCTTTCGAACTTGACCAACGTGTAGACTGTAGCACTCGCCTTGTATCAGTTTGCCTACGATCGCGTTGGCTCAAGCTTGGCCAACATGTATTGTCGAGGTTAGACCATTTAACCCATTTGTTTGTATGGTCAAAGCGCGCGCTCTATACCTTACTTATTTATACTCTAAGTTCTGAGTACTCTTCTCTATGTGTGCGTCCACAGTGAATGCGCGGCGACTTGAGCCTGTTGCGGGCGCGACAGTGGGCGCGTGCCGTGGCCACAGTCACGAGCGAGCTGTTGGTGTGCTTAGACGTATTACAGGTGTTGTAAACCATGGACAAGGATTTAGTATTTCTACTAGACAGTCCGATCCTGAGATTCGAGATTTTGAACATTAGAGAACGAACGACACGAAATAAATAAAAACCGACAAATAAATGGTGAATTTTTTAATTTGTATGAAGAATGGATATAGTACCCTAGAAAATTCTTTGAGTATACTCGAATGTTCGTGTCAACATTTGATTACGTCCTGAGTAAATATCACCTAAAATCACTAGAGAAGATACAAATTTTTAACAAAAAAAAAAAAACGAAGACGCGCTTACGCCGAGCGATAAGACCCAACTGGTTTGATACTCCCGCACCCGCCCATTGGATCACTTGCTTACTAGGCCTGTAGTGTGGCCAAAACGCGGATATGAACGTTTGAAAACTACGCGCGCTATCTCGCTCATGCCCGTTACGCTAGGCGTCCGCCTTAGTCACTACACTATGGACGCAAACGGTGGTTTCATATGTTTGATAATTCGCGCCCGTCGTCGCAACCGCGCTAGGCTCACACTGTGGACGAGGGCTATGATTCTGAGAGGCCCTTCTAAATATTACTATACTCTTTGGTGGGGTCAAAAAATTTGGCAGTTTGCAAACTAGGGATGAGGAAGGGAAAAATATATCGATATATATAGAATCATTATTTTTAAATTTTATCATTAATTATAAAAAAGTGATTAATATCGATATATCGTCATCATTTGCATGATGTAAGGATAAGGTCCAAAATTTTATATTACTGACGTTTGGACGACGAAAAAAACTCTCTATTTTGTAGCTCCTTTTGTGTTTAAAATATATCGAAATTGATACGAATTCTATGCTCTAAAATAAATATCGATATATCGCGATTAAAAATATCGATAATACATATCGATATTTTTATGAGAAAAGATCGATATTTCTATATATCGATATTTTTGCTACACCTATTGCAAACCGATCGGTTTCTCCGAAACTTGACAGTACGGATGTGACATTGAGTGAAAAAAATCGATTAATAAAAATCGATTTTTTGCTTTGTGATAATAATCGATTTAAGAAAAATCGATTTTTTTATAAAAAAATAATCAATTTTTGCGAAAAAAAAATTTATTCGAAAAATAATCTTCTGGTTTTAGAAATAAACTACAGAACAATTTTTTTAACATATAACTTTGAACAATAAAAAACTAAAAGTAATTACTGCCACAAATGTTCAGTGCCATTTAACAATTTATTACAACCAAAATAAACAGAAACGATAAATTAAACTAAGTTTTACGGATTTTATCGCGTTTAATTTAACTTTTTAATTCCCGACATTTCAGGTGCTTTACAGCACGCATGATCACAGAGGGGACTGAGGTGTTTGACGTCCCTATGTCATAGTTGAACCACAAATCCTCGCAAAAGAACACCGATTCCTACCAAGGATGATTCGCGAGGCTATCGAAATTAAAAAACATCCTAATTTCAATAGAGAAGATAGATGGGTGCTGCCATCTGCTTGGCATCCTATAATTAATAAAATTAAATCCAAACCCAAGCATACCACTGTAAGACTTCAAGATACTGCAAGCTCATTCTGCGTAGATCGGACCAAAAATTAATATTCAAAAACTGAATTTAGTCAGGCTAACTATGACATCTGGACGTCAAAGACCTCAGTTCCCCCCGTGACCATGGGTGCTGTGAAGCACCCGAAACGTCAGGAATTAAAAAGTTAAATTAAGTGTGATCAAATCCGTAAAAATTAATTTCATTTAATGTGTAGTCTTCGCGTAAATATAAGAAATCATTAAGAAACCATAATTTTAGTAACCGATAGTTTTTTTTAAACTAAGTTTGAACCAACAAAAAGTCTAAATAACATTATGCCACTAATGTTCAGTATCATTTACATTGGATTAGAATGAAAATAAAATAAAAATATAATTATAAATAATCCGACGACAACCTTTTGATCTGAAAACTAAAATACAAGACAAATCTTTTTTTAAACTTGTCAAAACAAAAAAAAGGTAAAAAAATATTGCCATGAATTTTCGGTTAAAGGCTTTACAAACAATCATTTCACCAATATTCTTCTTCGTCTCTTTCCCAAAATACGGTTTCGTTTTTTCCTGACAATATTTCTCGCTTTCAAAAATAAGCTTTCGGCTGACGCGGAACTGGCCATCACTGAGAGGTGTTTAAAAGCCAATTCGATTAGTTTAGGGAAAGTTCCTTCAGAGCTTCTCCATATATTGAGGGCATCTTGAGATTTGATAGTGGTGCCGCAATATATAGATCCAATTCAGTATTTTTGCCTATTGACGTGTTGGCCGCTATCATTTTTTCATTATAAAATACTTCTGTCAGTCACTTTTACGCGTTTCACAAGACATTTTTATTGTTTATATATAATTGTTTACACTAACCAAAGAAAGAAAGAAAACCACAGAATACTTTTACTCCTAGCGGAGGAGGAAACCTGTTGAAAACATATGAAAAGCGAAACTGTTTTACATACATAGAGATACATAAAGGTGGCGCCGTCTTTTGATTGACTTATTCATGTTATTGAACTTACTTCACGTTTTTACATCCATCGCACAGATGAATCTGATTACAAAAATCGATTGAAACGCGTAATTTAGATAAAAATCGATTTATTATAAATCGATTTTTATTATAAAAAAAATCGACTTCGAAAAATCGATTATAAGAAAAAAATAATCGATTAATATGAAAATCGATTATTTTTTCACATCCCTACTTGACAGATTAATGTCAACACTGTCATCAACTGTCATGTTACTGTGCCCATTGTGGTGGTTGTAAAAACTAAAAATTTCGAACTTATAGCCGTCCGCTCTCGCGTCACGTCTTGTTTGGGCTATTTAAATTTTAGAGCCGGTGTTTATGTAAAGTTTGCACTGTGGCTAAAGTGACACCATATCCAAGCATGACTTATTCCGGAAGGAATAAATTTGAGGTAAGTCCCATCGATCTACGGATTTGTTTGTTTTCGTTTTGATTGAAACAGCTGACATCGATGTTGCACCAAGAGCCGTTCTTTGTTCTCGCATGCGTGATACCTGATTATATTCAATAATTTTACATACTTTTCTGAAGTCATTTACTTTCTTGTTATTTATATAGAAATCAAGAAACGGGAGCATGGTAAACAAAATTGCAGTTCTATTTTAGTCTTGATATTTATTAAAGTTTCACGCTATACAAAATGAATGGAATTTTACGTGTAATATTACATCTTTAAGTATTTTACGTTTTATATATTTTACGTTTGAGAGTTGAATGCATGTTATTTTTCTTTGATTCTTTGTTTCTTAGTATATTGACCTCTGTTTGAAAGTACAATCAACTCGCGTAATGTCGATACCGTTACACAGATCTGAAATTAAAAATGAGTGTACTGATTCAAATGTTGATTTGTGATGAAATATTTTACAATTTAAATTTGTCTTTATATATATATAGCTATACACCTATAAGTAAAATCAACATAAATATACAATTTTTTTTAAATAAAAAAAAGTAAACATATAATATATTATTACAACAAACTTTTAAAATGATAATAAATTTTTTATTCTAAATTTTATATTTTTAATCACAATTTTTTTGAAATGAAATAAATTGTATTAAAGTATAAATAAATTTATGTTTTCATCGATAGATAATTGTGTATTAAATTTATCCATAGTTATTTTTTCTCTTCGACAGATAGCTCGGTTTTCTGGTGAAGATGAAAATCACATTAATAGAAAATTGCCTAAGGAGTTACTCCTCAGGATATTGTCTTACCTGGACGTAGTTTCTCTCTGCCGCTGCGCTCAGGTATTTATTTAATTATTTAAGACATAGTTAAAAAATCCTTATTACAACGAAAAGCATTTTTAATTTGTGTTATTATTGATTATTTTCAATGCATATGTTTCACTGCCTAAAATTGCTAGTTGTTCATGGGCTCACCTTGAGATGGACCGCTAGCTTATTTCATAGAATATATGTCATATAAATTGTGTTTTTATATACATAGCCAAATCCAAAAGGATAGGGAATAAGAAAAAGTGCTTTAGGAGTCTTGGGGCCAAATTTGATAAAAACCAACTGTAGATTTAGATAAAAAATTCTAGCAAAAAATTAAACATGTGTATTTGTAAAAACACAACAACCTGTATTATTATCCTATCCCATAGTATCTCCTTCAAGGATAAAATTCTGGAAAGTAATGTGAAATGGCAAACTGAAAGAAAAATTTATTTCCAAGGAAATACTATTTTATTATTACAGTTTACCCGCGGTAATCTGACATATGGTATGATAGGAGATATTGGATTAGCAAATTTGTTGGACTATAGAGTACTGCCACAACCCTCTGGTAGTGTGGAAGTTTTTGAAAAAGAGTACTATGTAATGTGCCTAAATATAAAATAATAAAAAATAAAAAAGTCATGTGATGCACGAAGAACACCTAAACAGTAAATGATGAATGTCAGCTAGGCCATTACTATAGTCACATTTAAACTGAGACAAGCTATATTCATGGTGCCGAGAACTAATTGCAACATATTTGCGAAGGACACCTTCCTTGTAGCGGAAACATAAAGTGACTATTGTGCCTACAATGTAAAGGCATGTCGGATTACAAGGGATTAGCCAAGGACCGGATTACAGGCTGTCCATTGTATATTTTAAAACAACTTCCAACCTGGTGTCCATCTGTATAGATATCACACTCTTCACATCTTATCTATTTTTGCTTCCAAACAGCAATCTGAAGGAGATGGATAATCAGTAAATTAACGGGTGTGAGGCATTCCACCTTAGTTTTCAGAGATGATAACTGATAACACATCTGCAGCCTCCTTTGTTTGCAGATAAATAAAACAAAGAATCATTAAAAAATCTAGAAAAACAATTATTGAGTAATATGTGAAGAATTTGTGAATTTATTAGGATTGAAAGTTTTGTTGAAATCTTTTATTGTGCAAGTATAGCTTGCCATTGTCTGATGTGGCTCCATTAAACGATTACATGTATTAAAAAGACGATTTTATTTCACATTCAATAATTCAGTGTTAATAAGAATAACTTAAAACAACTCATAATTTTTAACTCATAATATTTTTCATAGGTATCAAAATTGTGGAACATACTTGCTTTGGATGGTTCCAATTGGCAGAGGATAGACCTGTTTGATTTCCAGAGAGATGTAGAGGTACTCATTATTATTAATAATAAAACTATACAAATTCATATAAAAACATCATGAAGCTAATACAAAGGGGAGACGGCATAAGCAACTGTGCACTGTGATTCTAAGTAGGTCCTGACGTCATCATAGTGGGCGTGGCTTTAGTTAGTATACTGTCAGCATACGTCCTGTGCGCTCATGTGTTGCAAAAATTGCAAATCGATGTATTTTCGTAGTATTAAGAAGATGAAGTGTTGTGTTTTATTGTGTAAAAACTACTCAGATAGACGCTCTGATGTTATGGATGGCATCACATTTCATTTGTAAATAATTTTACACCTAATTTATTAAAATAGTTCTAGAAAAATCTCTTTGCGTTGGCTTTCAAATATAATTAAATATATTCGACAATAGATGGCGACACTTTGTGTCATGTGAACTAAAAATATAAAGGTCCGTAGAGCTCAGTATTGGTAAAATAAACATACGAAGGTGCTGAAATTTGTTTTGCATTCAGATATAAAGTAATTTTAATCGCAAAATATTATTTTTATAGTTTATAATCATTATGTGAACAGGCCGTATTCTATCGTCAAGTAAACCTCATAAAGATAACAAAAAGACAGTGCCGTAATTAGAATTAAATTATTTTATTCAGTAATCCAACTTTCAATATTAAAATGAAGGAAATTGTACTTAGGCTGATTTTCACGAAATGTTTAAGTTATATTTAAGTGACATTCTATATGCAAAGAATCACTTAAATACAATTTAATGTTCTTAGATTGGCATTCAAAAAGTGCATTCGGATGCCTTATTTGGAATTAAATATTTGTATTTTAATTGATTTGTAAATAAAATTATATTAATTATAATAATTTGTCTATTATTTGTTCTCCCTCAGAGATATTATGTAGTATAACCCACAGATAAATAATAGTCCAGCCGTTTCTGCGTGAAAAAATTACACATACACAGTACATACTTAGTGTGGAATAAGCTCAAGGAGACAGAAAGAACACACAAAATTTCGCCTTTATAATATTAGTGAGATAAATAGGATATTTAGTTCCAAATTAAATATCCTACTTAATATTGAACATAGAATATTTAGTTTCAAAGAGACTTTATTTTATGGATAAAATAAATATTTTTTGAAGGTTGACTTTCACGAAATGATAAACATATTTAAATTATATTTAAGTGATTCTTTGCATATAGAATGTCAGTTAAATATAACTTAAACATTTCGTAAAAATCAGCCAAGTACAATTTCCTTCATTTTAATATTGAATGTTGGGTTACTGGGTAAAATAATTGAATCCTAATTGCGGCCCTGTCTTTTTGTAATTTTTTATGAGGTTTACTTGACAATAGATGGCGGCCTGTTCCCAAAATTATTATGAAAACTAAAAATATTATTTTGGCGATTAAAATTTCTTTGTCTGAATGTATTTGCTTCATGAGATAGACGCTCCGATGCTATGGATGGCATCACATTTCATTTGTAAGTAATTTGACACCTAATTTATTAAAATAGTTCTAGAAAAATCTCTTTGCGTCGGCTTTCAAATATAATTAAATATATTCCACACTAGATGGCGACACTTTGTGTCCTGTGAACTAAAAATATAAAGGTACGTAGAGCTCAGTAATGATAAAATAATCATACGAAGGTGCTAAAATTTGTTTTGCATTCAGACATAAAGAAATTTTAATCGCCAAAATATTATTTTTTAGTTTATAACATTTTGTGGATATGCCGCCATCTACCGTCAAGGTAGCTAAGCTACATTGCAACATTGATATGGAAAGATTCGAGTAGTTTTACTATTTATCGGTAGATGTAGATAGTGTAGTGGGCGGGGCTTTGCATCCCCTCACCCCGCAAATTGTCACGCATTGTTTCATAGTGAAATTGAATTACAACGTCTCCTCTTTGTATTTGCTTCATGAAAAACATCAACGAAGTTATATAAAGAGAGTGATAGCCTTAACAAACAAAGCACTGACACATTTGTTTTGCAATAACTCCTACTCATAGTACTACTGTAAACAGCTGCTACTGGTACTGATATTTCTCAAGTAATTGTATTACAGTTATAAAGATGACACACAATTTAACACTAAAATAAGAAAAGAGTTTCTATTTTAACCAAAATATTTTTATTTTATTCCTGTATATTCCTGTATTGCATGAATCTCTAAAACTCTAAATTATTGATCCAAATTTAAAAACAACAATTTTGTTAACAATTATATGGCATATTTTTGTAGGAGAGAATATGTAGAAACACTTGTTGTCATAAAATATGTGGGTCTCAGACTAACAAGCAAATGGAGAGCTGTGTACATTTTAAATGATGTCAATTTTTTGACACATGTTCATTTATAATACTTTAGTATTGCAGCATCACTTGAAATCTATGCAGCAATCTACAAAAAATCTACAAAAACATGTGGTTTTTGTATAACAACACTATTAACTTTATAAAGCATATATGTGGTAGAGTGACGATGCAGTATCTTGCAGCGTGAATGTGTTGGCTCGTTCGCGGAAGGACCACGCTCACACATAATACCTACTAAAAAAAGAGTTTCGTTTTTGTGAACTGGAAACTTTTCCTGGTAATGAGACATGAGAAACTGAGGATGAGACTTCTTAGCCCTCAGGAGTGACAATGTATCTGCATTTTTATTTCTAATTGAGGTAAAATGTAAGTTTCTATTAATTACAGTATCCACTTACCATTAACTAAACTGTGTGTTTGACACCTTTATTTGACTACAAAAAAGAACTCACAACAAACATGATTTTTATATAGGCCACCACATGTACATTTTAATGTCTTTATTGTAGCAGATGGAATAAGTTACACTACCTTTATTTCTATTAAGTGTCATTAATACTTTTATAACACTTTTCAGGGTCCAGTTATAGAAAACATATCACGAAGATGTGGAGGCTTTCTTCGACAGTTATCACTACGGGGATGCGAAAGTATAGCGGATGGCTCTATGAAGACACTTGCACAGGTAGAGATTTGCACTTGCACATAAGATTTTCTTTTGTGTACTGCTGTAAGAGCTTTATTATATGCGTATTCATAAATTACATTATAATTACGAATTCTCGCATGTGTAGTTGATAGATTCTGGTGGCTAATGAGCATACTTTATAGCAATCTATAGCTAGAAGTTTATGATTAATAATAGATCTGTGATGGATTATAATGATGATGATAATAATAATGAATGATTTCATTATTTTGTATAAAACAATTACTAGGAATATTCATGTAACAAAATGAGGTTTATAATTTACCACAATTTCTATTCATCACATCCCTTTATAAATACACCGGAACATATTTCTTTCTTAAAATGCGCATTCATCAATCTACATCATCGTCAGCTGTAAAACTTCACTGCTGGAAATCGGTGTCAGCAGAAACTTCATGACAACAACTCGAAATAATAAAAAAAACATGCATGTGTGTCGTGGAACACTCAGTTGGAACGAAGTTCCATTCGTAGTATATTATTATTGATAAACGTATTATATTATTGACTAACATTTACAAATAAATGAATTACTAGCGTCTTTTAAAATGAAGCGTCATTTAATATAAAATAATATTTCTTTCATGGCAAGATAAGAAAAAGTGCGAAGGAGATGGATATTATTCCATCTCGCTTCCTTATAGCCGCCAAGGCCGTCTACACTACGTCAGATGGGCTTGTGACGGAAAAATCTTACACTTTTCTCGCCTAGCCCCCATCCGCCAAATTCGTACCGTACGATAAGGAACTTCGTTCCAAAACAGCTGTTGCCAAACCACCTGCCAAGCTGGGCAACTATGGCAAATATCCTTCATTGGTAGATAATTGAATGTGGGTGTCTATGTCCAGATATTTACTTTTGTTAGGCTAGATAAGGAATAAATTTCTTACTTACTCGTTACGTCGACATTTAAAAACACGTAAAATAAAACGCGATAAAATCACTAAATGTAGTTTCATTTAGAATGATGAATGATTAGTTGATTAATAAAGTAATCCTTTTAGTGAAGATGATCAGCCGGATATTTTTTATTTCAGTCCTGTCCAAACATTGAAGATTTGAATCTAAATAAATGTAAGAAATTAACAGATCAGACATGTCAAGCACTGGGCAGGAGGTGCAACAAATTACAAAGGTGTGTACATAATATTCTAGCTGGCCTGGCAGACCTTGCTCTGCCCTTTCCAACTGAAGTTACAATTTTTAATAACTCGACCAAAGCGCCGCCTATTAAGTTCAGACTTGATTTGCTTTTTGCAATAAACTAGAACAATTCTTTATATATCTATACAAATAAATAAAAATAAAGTATCTGTTTGTAATGTCAAGCGAACAGATTTTTACTACATGCATATGAAAGTGTATACGGTACTCATAACAACTACACAATTTTTAAAATTTCTGTTTGTCTCTCTGTCTGTTTGTTCCGGCTAATCTCCGAAATGGCTTGATCGATTTTAACGGGACTTTCACTGGCAGATCGCTTATAAGGATAATTATAAGGAGTAACTTAGGCTACTTTTAATGAAACCCTAAATTACACGCGGGCGAAGTCGAGGTAAACAGCTAGTATATATACATATGACTCGTATATAGATTCTTCTAAAATCCAGCAGGCATTGATACCACTAGCTATTAACTTTAATACTTCAAGTTTAATAGTCTATGTGGGAGATTTTTAAAATGCATGCTGTAAAGTCCTCTTTCAGAGAACTATACTCACCATGTTTACAATGAATTTTTATAATTGTATGATATTCCACATCACACATATGTCATTTGCTTTGAGAAAGGCACCGAAGTGACCATACATAGTAAGTTTGTAAGCAGGGATTCCGAGCATGCTGTAATTCAACCGGGGGAATTTCGTGGTCTTTAACTAGCAATTGGAGAGTTCCTGCATGTTGTGCATTAACATAGACCATATAAAGGGAGAGTCTTAGAATATTGACCTGTATCATTTTACCTAGAAGATATATTGTAGCCTTGATTCTGCTCCCACTGCCAATGGCGTTTTAGATATAAGATGGCCATCCATAACATTGGATTTTGTTGCCTCATACACCGCTGCTATATATTGATTTTCAACCTTTTGAATAAGTTGTTCGCATTTAAATTATACCCTGTGTGAGGTAAATCAGTGTTAAAATGTTCACAGTTTAAATTTTTTTTTTTCAGAATTAATTTAGATTCGTGTCCAAGTATAACAGACATTTCGTTAAAAGCTCTTGCAGATGGTTGTCCTGTAAGTAATCTAATAATGATGAACTCTAACATTGAATAAAAGATTTTTATGGGTTTACAAGTCAATCAGGATTTCAAACAAGGCACTTTAAAATTTAAAATATTTAAATTTCTAGTAAACCTTGCAAAATCCTTGAAAATTACTTTTATTCAATCTGTAACTTAATTTACTGTAATTAACAAGCCATGGTAGCTCAGATGGTTAGCGCTTGCTGTAAATTTCACAGTACGGCAGCAACCCGGGTTCGATCCCCGCCGGCACCAATTAAATTGTTAATTGCAGTTTTAAGTGCTAATTTATCACGTGCTCGGCGGTGAAGGAACACATCGTGAGGAAACCTGCTTGTCTGAAAAATAAGAATAAAACATATTTCGAAGACATAAGTCCGCAAACACGCATTGAGGCAGCGCGGCGGACGCTTCCTTGCCCTAAAACCCTCTCAGAAATGAGGGAAGGCCTGTGCTCAGCAGTGGGACGTATATAGATTTTAATTTTAACTTTTTTTACCTTTAAGTTAATTTGCTAATGTGTAATTAGAAATGGTTATCTTATCTATAGGAGAAGCCCACCTCCAGTAGTGAACCTTTTATAAGCTGTAATGAATAAAAAAAATCTATAAGTAATTTTTTTACCATCTCTAAATGTAGGTGTTTCATAATTTTATTTTTACTGGATTGTAACATCAAATTTTAGACAAATATTGGTAAAATTGTCAAATTTGATTTAAATGCTGGTCACAGATTCCAAATTCATTTGAGCTTTGTATTTATGTGTGATTTGAAGAAGCCCAATTCTTCCTTTTTTATTTCACTGCAAGGCATGGGTCTCTCTTACTTAGAGAGTATTTTACATGGTAGAGCCTGAGAGATTCTGTAGCTGTTAGCATATAATAGCTGCAGCATAAATGTTTCGGCTCGGCACAAAGCATGTCCACAATCTCACTGAATACCAGTGGAAAATCTGTGAATGGACTGAACACACTTTTTACTGTTAACGACTAACGAGGCATTCCATCTTAGTCCAATCACATGTATATTGTAATTTTTAATCAAGCATTGATGTGTCAAGGTGTCCTCGGGTCACAGCACCCAATGCAGACATCACAGCTTGTTTGTAACCCTTTCTCTCATTCTATCCTGCCTTCAATTTGACCGCAGAAGTGTTACATCGGACATGGATTTGTTAGAACAAGTGATTGCTTCTGGGTTTGCTTGTACACTTGTATTCTAATTTCTCCCGCACTTTTGATGAAATAAGTGTCAGAGACGGCAAAGGACACCACACACACCGAACACATGAAATTGACGATGTATTAAAGAAATTAAAGTACTTTAACCGACCAGCATTTATGTATTTAATATGTAATGTAGTATTTTAAATTTGTCGTCGGGACCGATAATCGGCTAGAAGAACATCAGAATTTATTGGATTCTGTTGAAAAGACTAAAAAATAATATCAACATAGTGTGTAATGTATTTTTGTCTTTATTTTCAGCTATTGACCCATGTAAACGTGTCATGGTGCCAATCAATCACAGACAATGGTGTTGAGGCCTTAGCTAGGGGCTGTCCTAAACTAAAGAGCTTTATTTGTAGAGGTGAGTGTGACTATTTACTACTATTTTCATTAAAAGATGCACTAAGATATAATACTTTACAAACGCTTGCTTAGCTAGAAAGAGAGAAAGCGAGTTCCAATTGTTTGCGATAGCAAATGATTGATTTAGTATGGTCGTGATATACATTGGTATTGTGAAATCGTTTCGCCTAGTTTGGATATTGACACGAAACTATTTCTGACTGAAATCGGATTTTAAATTTATTTTCATTTATCGGGCCAATGTCTCTAAGACATTTTGTTTTTCTGACCATACGTCAAAAAAAAACGGCCTCCATTTATAATACGCTTCTTATCTTAGTTGGGAGTCGCTTGTAAAGAATCTCAATTTTATAAAAATTACATGATTATATTAATCAAATGCCTGTACAATAAAACTCATATATTTTAATAGGCTGCAAAAATGTAAATGACAAGGCTGTATCAAGTCTAGCCACGCATTGTCCAGATCTAGAAGTTCTCAATGTTCAAGGTTGTGACGTAAGTACCTTCATCTCACAGTTAGTTTAATTTTTTAATTAAAGTTTATTACTTGTCCATTTGAAATGGTCATGTTTATTGCTGTAGAAGCTTTTGCTTTGAGCATGCACAGGCTATCTAACTTAGAGGCCGAGTGCCATCGGGATCTTTTTAGACTAAAAATGTGGTGTTTGATAAAAAATAAGTTAATTAAAGTACAGCGTATATAAAGTGCGAGATATCGCTTTCGATTAAAAACATTATTAGCTTTTAACACTTTCACTGTCCAGTTTTCAGACACAATGGTAAGACTAGCAATAACCTACATGTAGTACACGGTACAGCAAAAGGGTTAATGAACAATAGGGAGACTCCCTTCATATCAGCTATGGGCACTTAATGTCAGATAATTTTGCTAAGATAACACGGATAATGCTACTAAATAATAATATACGATATTATTAGAAACAAATTTATTCAAGATTGAAAAGCCCTTTTTTGTTTCATGTCCTAAAAACCTTTGAACTGCAAAATTGAAATTAAATTTTTAAGGTAATTTAAAAAAACTGTATAATCAACTAAATTCCTGAAATTAAATAGATCAATAAAATAACTATACTTCTTATCTCATTTGTTTATGCTCAAAGTTGCGTTAAAATTAGTTTTAAAATATGGATGCTTCAAGGCCCTTAACTTTCAAACCAATAATGTTTTTACTATCCTGTTTACGCATAAGCCTAGAATAACGATGAGACAATTCGATATTATGCTTAAATTTACGTACGTACACGGACGTTATAAATACGCACGTAATGCTACAATTTGTATGTGAGACATCATACACGCACAAGCACACAATTATTATATATATGCATACTGGCGCCGATTGTCGGAGCATGATATATTTGTGTGTGTAATATTGTAGGACCTAGGGTTCACACATTTTCAGTGTAACATTACATTCGTATTTTTTAACGTCCGTGCGTACATCATTAAACGCGTATATTGGTTCGGAAAATGATCGACCGACTTTTTATAGAACCGGTGACAAACGAGCACACAGTCCAGGTGATGGTAAGTGGATTCTGTGTTCCATAGTACATTTCGAAAACTTATTGATCAACCTAGTATATAATAAAAGAGTTACTTTAGTTGTCGGCAAGTTTTTGAATTTGGTTTTTTTTGTTATAGAATTGATTGCATTTTTTTATAGGATTGATTGATCTTTTTTTTTGATGTCTGGTGTCAAATGAGCACACAGTCTACCTGATAGTAAGTGGATACTGAGGTCTATAGACGTCTACATTTATCCTCGATTGAGAATCAAAATGTAGATGCGTTACCATCCCTGAGGACTAAGACGGAATGTCTCGCTTCCAGTAAAAGGGGTCTCCGGATCTCATATTTACATGGACAATTACCATATGAAACACAGAATCATTAAGCTGCTACTCAAAGCAGGTATTCTGTGAGAGCATGTTCTTACCCCGGTCAGGCCGCGACCCATTCATACTTCAATATAGCTGCAGCGTGACTCTACCATGTATACATGGATGTTTCCAGGCCCTTAACTTTCAAAAGAATACTGTGTTACTATTCTGTTTACGCACAAGTCTAGATAACGATGAGATAATTCGATATTGTGCTTAGTTTTACTTTCCTCTACAGACGTAATGTTACACTGAAAACATGTGAAGCACTGTGAATTATATCTTTCAATTTGTTGGTCAGACTGGCGTCGATTGTATAACCTTTATTTGTGTGCGTAAATTTGTAGGATCACACAGTTTCGGTGTAACATTACGTCCATATTTTTTAATGTCTGTGCATACATTGTTAAACAGTGGAGTGATTACGTTTACGTGGTTTGGAAAAATGATCGAGCTAGGTACCTACTGACTGTACAGAACGTGAGCGACGAGTCGATTTCGAAGCTGGGCGGCGGCATGCGGCGCCTGTGCGTGTCGGGCTGCGCGCGGCTGACGGACGCGGCGCTGGCCGCCGTGGCCGCGCGCTGCCCCGCGCTCGCCACGCTGGAGCTGGCGCAGTGCAGCCAACTCACCGACGCTGGCTTCCAAGCACTCGCCAGGGTGACCATATGTTTCATATTTTCATTTTTTCGCCAGCTGCTTTTTAATAATATATCATTATAGAACTGTGTATCTCATCGATCCATAATTTTTTATAGAATAATGGTGAACATCTTGTGTATGGTACCGTGTAGTGGCGGTGTAAGAATATCCACTACTACATATCATCCCGTGGATGTCGTAAGAGGCGACAAAGGGAAACAAATTAGGAGGTGGACAGCAGCGTCTTCCTAAAACGACCATAATAAAAAAAAAACTGCGGTTGCCAACCTGCTTGCCAAGCATAACAACTATGGCAAATATCCCCCCTATGAGGGAGGCCTATGTTCAGCAGTGAACTTCAATAGGCTATAACAATTAAGGTAATAGTGACTAACGAGCACAAAGTCTACGCTACCTGATGGTAAGTGCATGCTGTGGAAACACGAAATGCCACAAACCACGATCTTGGGCTAATCACACCCATTGACTTTCTGCATGTCTTACGTAATCGTCACCGTATTTAGTGGGAGCCTGCCCACTCTATTTATCTCCAAACCGGCAACAAATGTTTCAGACCGATTTCTTTTAAATTTCACCTACAAGCAAAAGTACACCTTAAAAATATAAAGTTAGCAGTGGATCCCTAAATGGCACTTAAATTATATTTTGTATTAATAATTACACACTTTATTCTTTAATTATTTATAAAAACAAAATACTCGTATATGGTCGCCATGACTCACATGAAAATCCATATTCCCGTTTTATTGTGTAGGTGTAATAAGCTTCTCCGCTTTCTCCTTTTCTTTCGTTTTATTCCACAATCTTTCTTTACTAGCCCGTAAGAATATGCTAGTGTGACATATACGTCTCCCGTTATCTATACATCTATACAAATAAATAAAATTGAAGTGTCTATTTGTAATGTCAAAATTACAGCTTTTTACTAATTGCATATGAAAGTATATAGGGTACTTATAACAAAAACACAATTTTAAATTTTTTTGTCTGTCTGTCTGTGTTCCGGCTAATCTCCGAAACGGCTGAACCGATTTTGACGGAACTTTCACTGGCAGGTAACTGATTTCATAAGGAGTAACTTAGGCTACTTTTATTTTAGAAAAAGAATTAGGGTTCCGCGCAAAAACATAAAAACCCTAACACGCGAGCGAAGTCGCAGAGAACAGCTAGTATGGAATATAACTATAATGAAAGAGGCCCGCCTTTATAAGGATGGTCGTGATTACCACGCTTTGCGATCGCTAATCGATATGTTTTGCACGATTGATGCTGCTCCCCGTTGTTTGTCAGGTAATAATAATGTCCTTTAGACCGAATTTCGATCACGGCAGCCAGTCTCAACGGAGACTAGCCACCTGCGCAGGATATGATTACAGTGCCCAAGTGTATGCGCAAGCACAGGTGCACTCTGTATTCCCTCACTATTATAGTCCGGTAGGACGGTAATTCGACATGACTGGAGAGAAATCAGGCACAGGTTCAAAAACTTTATTTACATGCTTGCCGAGATACAGGGGTGAAACACACACGTTACATTCATCACGCCTATGGGATGAATTTTGGTTTAGTATTGGACACACATAGTTAATTTTGCTACTTGAGCAATGCTGGCTACTCTGACTTCACCTTGTTTTAATGGTGATCTGTTATTCACTGAGTTTAGTCCAATAAAGAAATTACTTATTTTGTCTATAATAATTTCTTGATAACATAATACAGTATATTAGTATTTTATACATTCATTTTAATTAAATTTAGACCTTTTTAACAGAACTGCAGAATGTTGGAAAGAATGGATTTAGAAGAATGTGTTCTGATAACTGACACAACTCTGGTTCACCTCTCAATGGGTTGCCCAAGACTTGAGAAGTTGGTAAGACATTACTATATTTGTTTTACATTTAAATCTTTAAATAAAATATTAATAAATACTCTATATATTAACGAACACCATTTCCTTTCAGACTTTATCCCACTGTGAATTAATAACCGATTATGGAATCAAACAGTTGTCCATGTCACCCTGTGCAGCAGAGCATCTTACTGTTTTAGGTAATTTAATGACATATTAGTAATTATTGTGGTGTAGTAACGCGTAAAATACCACGTGGGCTATCACAGAGAGAGAGAGAGAGAGAGAGGAGAGAGAGAGGAGGGAGAGAGAGAGAGAGAGAGGAGAGAGAGAGAGAGAGAGAGGAGAGAGAGGAGAAAGAGAGAGAGAGAGACTAGCTACTACTTTGTAGTAGTGTGTTGTAATCCCAGTTAGTAGTTAACATTTGTGCAAAAACACAAATGTTGGTTATCGATGGTGTGAATTAATGATTTGAAAGTTTTTTGGTCATCCCGACATTCCTTACACTTTAACCTTACTTTACCCGACGTTAATGATACTAACATCAATTTTATAATTTCAGGCTTAGACAATTGCCCTTTAGTGACAGACGGAGCTTTAGAACATTTGACTTCATGTCACAATCTACAATTGATTGAACTATACGACTGTCAGATGGTGACAAGAAATGCAATACGAAAGTTACGGGTATGTATCTAATTTATAATTCATTTTTCATGGTATGACTAGACTTAGCACCTTCATAAAAGAGCTTTTAGAAAACCTAAACATTTACACAAATGCACAGCTAGGTACCCACAGGTAGATTTCTAGGCTGAATGTATGGGTATAATTCAAGCAGTGGCGATAGTAATGGATGTTAAGAATGTAAAGAACTATTCCATCCTAATATCACAGTTTAGACCGTACAGTTGTGAAACGCCTTTGATATCAGGCGATGCCGCCGTCCGCGTAGGTATTGATGCGGCCAGCGTGTATGCTAGAGGTTGTCACGAAAATGGAAATAAAAATAATTTTGGATATTAATATTATTACGAACGCACATCGCGGCAGAACTCCCGATACCATCCACACCATCTGGATGATTGGCGGTCCACCACTGTGCGATTTAGAAGATGTTTTCTTCCTCGCACGACTTCCTTGTGGAATCGATTACCATCAGCGATTTTTCCGGACCGATACGACTTAGGGACCTTCAAGAAAAGAGCGTACTCCTTTTTAAAAGGCCGGCAACGCATCTGCAATTCCCTCCCTGGTGTTGCAGTTGTTCATGGGCGGCGGTAGTCACTTACCATCAGGTGAGCCGCATGCTCGTTTGCCCCCTCTCCTATAAAAAAAAAACATTATGTACATACTTATAAGTCGAAAACATTTATCGAACAAGATCAGTTTTTATTACTACAGGAAAAACACATTTACAAGTGTTGAACTGCCAAATATTTTCGTGACACTTTCTTTTTACAGATATTTTCAGTTTTCGATTGTTAATTTTAATCATGTAGTGTATTCACATTCGGATAATCATTTTTATCTGCTGCTATTCTTGCAATCTTCTTCACAATGGTGGTTTTAAACCGCAAAAATATAATTGAATGTATACGATACCCGAATGTTCTGTATATTAGCACAAAATCTTCCGGACAATAATTTAAGGGTATATTTTAATAAGAACCGCGCACATCGTCCGAGCGCCTCCCGAACCGACTGACCGTCTATATATATTAGTGGTCGCCTAATTAAGTTTTAGTTTTAGCGTAGGCCTACCGTAATTCATTAAATTTTTATGTGTATGTAATATACAAAATGTAAAATAAACCCTTTTTTGTTTTGACATATTATACTCCACACACTTTTGAAAAAGAACCATTTATAATCACATAAAATTCACTGCTTACTCAATCAATCTGTCACTAATTATTTGTTAGCGACATTTTAAATTTCTTTGGCGGCAATCACTAGTCTTTGCGACTGTTTAGCCAACCACAGACTATTATGTGTTTGACAATTGACATTAGCAGTATGAACATATATTACAATGAATAAGATCTTATTTTATTTAATGTATTTATAACGCATATGTATTATACAGGGTTATATTGCAAAGAGTAGCCAAATTTTAAACTTAACTTCAAATATATAAACAATAATATATAAGTCCAATCAAATTAACGATCAACCTCGGAATCAGAGATAATAAACTGAATTTTCATATATACCTTCATTTTGGCGTTCTAAAAGTAGTCTCATAAAATCTCGTGTCTGCGTTGTAGGTTATTCAAGGTGAAAGGTAAAAAATACCGTTTTTCGCGATATTCTCGGATTTTATTGCTCCAATGATGTTAACATCTATTACAAAAACTGTAGATCATAAAATTATGCGAATTTTTTTTATTGAAACATTTTTTTCATGCGCTCAACCGTATTTGCGATAGAGGGTGGTGAGCACGCAGTGCTTTGCCATACGTACTGTAATGCAAGGTCGACCGTGAATATCTGTGAATTCTACCTTGAATCTTAAATAATTTATATCATTTATCAGTTAATATATTGTATTTACGAGTAATAACATTTTACACATTCTTAATAGATTCATTTATTAATACTTATCTACTTTGCGTAATTAAAAACTCTTTACATTAAATACTTGTTGTATATCTTAATTTATTGAAGGTAGATTTAAGTAGAAAAATAATTAAGTATTTTATCTTTAAAAGGGTGTTTTTATTTACCTAAAGAGGCTTTTGATACAATCAGCCATGACATCCTGTTATTAAAACTAAAAGACATAGGTATCACAGGAAAGGCAAATGATATTCTGAAATCGTATCTTTCTGATAGATTACAAGTTGTTAAAATTAATAATCAGCAAAGTAACCCAACCGGTTACTTGTGGCATTCCACATGATCAATATTGGGACCCTTGTTGTTCCATATTTATGTAAACAACATATATGAAATTGGACTAAAGGGAGATATTACTTTATACGCAGATGATTCCAGCCTCTTCTACTTTTGCCACTCATTAGAATCAGTACTAAGTGAAGCTCAGCATGACCTACACACATTACACACCTGGCTACAGTCAAACTTCTAACAATCAATGCCTCAAAAACAAAATACATAATCTTTTCTGCAAAAAATAAAAAAAAAACTGAAAGTCACAATCCTCTTACTATTGATGGTGAAATACTAACTAAAGTTAACAACGAGAAATATTTAGGCCTTGTTCTTGACAGTCAGCTTACTTGGAAACAGCATATTGAAATTAATTTAATAAAGAAAAGATCCATAGTAAAATCTACTCATTAACAGGAGCTTTAAAAACTATAGTTCGATGTGTTTAAAGGCCGGCAACGCATCTGCAATTCCCTCATTGGTGTTGCAGTTGTTCATGGGCGGCGGTAGTCACTTACCATCAGGTGAGCCGCATGCTCGTTTGCCCCCTCTCCTATAAAAAAAAAGATGTCTCCCAAGACATGTCAAATATACCATACATAACTCTTTAGTCAAGCCTCATTTATATTATTTGATTGAGGTATGGGGCTCAGCCCCTAAATCAACCTTGCAAAAATTACAAGTAACACAAAATATAAATTATAAAAATATTATTCCAATATAACTATTTAACCTAGCCCAAACATACAAATATAAAATATGCATTTTTATTAGCAAAATACTTACTAAAGATACTCACTCTCTAATAACATTTACAAAAAAGATAGATTACCATAAACGTGTGACACGGCAGACTAATAACCTATGTTTGAGAATACATAGAACAAACTATGGAAAAAGGAGTATACTTTACAAGGGACACTACAACAAATTACCTAAAAACATTAAACAACACTTTTAAGAAGTTACGAGGGGCACACAGAAATGATCGGGAATAAGAAAAACCACATGCACGGTATAGTTAAATTGCATTTTATTGTTTTTCGAAGTATTTTCCGTTCAACTTAATGCACTTTTCCATTCGTGCAAACCAATCATTAAAACAGTAATTCCAGTCTGAAGTTGATGTTGATAAAATGGCTGATTTGTACGCTTCCACAGCTGTTTCGGGGTCATCAAACCGTTGACCGCGTAATAAATCTTTCATTCTAGGGAATGTGAAGAAATAGTTTGGGTTCAGGTCAGGACAGTACGGAGGATGGCTCATCAGCTCAACGTTTTCCTGCTTCAAAAAATTATTTGTCTCCCGAGCCGTATGGGAGCTCGCATTATCGTGATGTAAGATGATGCGACGTTTCGGGTTATTTTTTTGGAGTTCGGCTATCATTTCTGGCAAACCAACCGTGATATACCACTCAGCGATAACCATTCTGCGTTCCTGTAAAGGAATTGTAGCAACATGCCACGTTTTCGAGACAAACGTAGCGACCATCCTACCTACTAGTAAGAAAAACCAGTTTTAACTACGGAACATGTGGTTTACGACATTTATTTTCGCAAAAGATTTAAAAGTCACTTACAGAGAAAATACTTATTAAATAAAAACATTAAGCCGATTGGCGTGTAGCGAGTTGTTTGTTAAGGCCTATGACACAGTAATTTGTCATTACGTTCAAAAATAATTTATTACTATTTTATGTACATATATATATATATATATATATATATATAATGGTATATTTCTATACAATTTTTTAGTAGATATTATTTACGTTGATATTATTTATGTACTTCATATATTTAAATTAGTGGTTTGTGATTATTAAATTATGAAAAATCTTTTAAAATGGGGTTTTTTAGTACGAGGGGCACACTGAAATGATCGGGTATAGAATATTTCGGATTGAGTTACAATAAAACCTTTTTTAGAATTTGAATACTGGCCTCTTAGAATCTTAATGGCATTCAAACAATTAAAAAAAAATTTTAATACCAAAAACTATGTTGGTTTAAAGTTGACACGTCGTTAACAGAAATGGAGCTTACGCGTGAACAATTCCGTGCCATAATTTATCACAATTTTCGTCGCGGCTTATCTCAAGATAAATGTCTCAGCAAACTTGTTTCGATTTATGATGTTGAAGCACCGAGTCAAACGACAATATACCGCTGGTATGCCGAGTTCCGACGCGGTCGTATGTCGCTCAGCACTGTTTATTCTGCAGGTCGACCAAGAACTGCAGTCACGCCTGAAAACATCGCAGCTGTGCGAACTTTTATATTAGATGACCGTCATGTGACGTACGCAGTAAGTGCCGTATTTTTTGTGGCTACTTTGCGCTGTTTGTAAAGTGCGTACAAAAATCTATTTATTTTTTTACAAACATTTTCAACTTGACTTTTCCAATTAAGTTTTTGATCTACCCATATACCTAGGAATTTTGTCATATTTGTACTTTTTAGGTTTTGTCCTTCAAAGTTAATGTTTATTGTCTGATATAATATGTCATTGAAATTTATAAAATAAGTTTTGTCAAGATTTATAATTAGATTATTATTTTTAAGCCATTCTATTATTGTTTTTACTGTGCTATTAATGTCATTAATATGGTCTTTTAGAGATTGTTTACGATCTGTTTTAACTATTACAGATATGTCATCAGCGAATAAAATGCATTTGTGTTTAGTTACATCCGGAAGATTATTTATATAGACCAAGAACAACAGTGGTCCCAAAACGCTGCCCTGTGGCAGCAGTTTATTCCGAATCAGAAATTCTCTAACTCCTGTTTAACGATGACGATGATGAAGAAGAAAATTAATGCTTTTGTTCTTTAAATTATTAAAGATTTATAGATGTTCACTGCAATTCGATTTAAACCGTAAAAAATGTGCAGCTGCTAAACAAAGATGAAATTAAAATATATTAACTCGTTTTACTTGTACTTAAAATTTACTTTGAATAAATGAATATAACTAAGTTATATAATATTATTATATAACTTAGTTATATTCATTTATATTTTTTATGGGAACGGGGGCAAACGAGGATACGGTTCACCTGATGGTATGTGATTACCGCCGCCCATGAACAACTGTAACCAGGGAAATTGCAGGTGCGTTGCTGGCCTTTTTAAAAGGAGTAAGCTCTTTTATTGAAGGTCCCTAAGTCGTACGCGTAAGAAAACTCCTAATGAAACGTACAGTGGTGGACTGCCAAGCATCCAGATGGTGTGGATGGTATCGGGAGTTTTGCGGCGATGTTCGATAATATATTATAAGCATAATATATTATCTTATATCTAAGAACTTACACATTTTATAGATAAAATACTTAATTATTTTTCTATTTAATATCCACCTTCAATAAATTAAGATATACAATAAGTATTTCATTTAATTACTTTTTAATTACACAAAGTAAGTATTATTAAATAAATATATTAATAATATTTAAAATGTCATTAAGTACAATTTATTAACTGTTAAATGATACAAATTATTCAAGATTCAAAGTAGCGCTGCGTGCTCACCGCCTTCTATCGCAAAAACGGTTGAGCGCATGAAAAAATGTTTAAAATAAATTTTTTTGTAAAATTTTATGCTCTACAGTGTTTATAATAGATGTTAACATCATTGGAGCAATAGAAACCGAGAAAATCGTGAAAACTGATTTTTTTTACCTTTGACCTTGAATAACCTACGACGCAGACACGAGATTTTATGAAACTTTTGAGACAACTTTTAGAATGCCAAAATGAAAGTATTTACGAAAATTCAGCCTATTATTATCTCTCATTCCGAGGTTGACCCCTTTTTTATGCTAATTGCGCCTTTTTATGAATTATTGATTTTTTAAATTAATTTTTCTTCACAATTTGTCTATATTACTTATTCTGAACCTTCTCTGCAAAGGAGAATGCCAGATTCTCTATACAACTTTGCCCCACCCAAAAGTGTGATGTACACGAATGCCGTATGCAACATTTTTTTTCTACTTTATTTCTTCATCCAAATTATATAATTTGAAGTCTCTAGAACTTGCGATTTTTTTTAAACTGGACTTCAATAATTACATTTACCTTATTTTTTATATTTTATTATTTTTTATATATATTGCTCAGATGGTTAGCGCTCGCTGTAAGCTTCACATTACTCGAGCAATCCGGGTTCGATCCCCGCCCGCACCAATGAAATTGTTAATTGCAATTTTAAGTGCTGATTTACCACATGCTCAGCGGTGTAGGAAAACATCGTGAGGAAACCTCCATGTCTGAGAAATAAGAAAAAAAATATTTCGATGACACGTGAAGTTCGCCAACACGCATTGGGCCAGCGCGGCGGACATTTCCTTGTCCTAAATCCCTCTCAGAAATGAGAGGAGCCCTGTGCCCAGCAGTGGGACGTAAATAGGATGCAACTTTACTTTTTACTTTACTTATTTTTTATAACAGCATTCGTTGCAGTTCATTGTAATTTCAGAATATAAATTTTCAGGCGCTAATGATATACCTATATAAATAAGAATTTAAGGAGCATAATAATATGATCAGTAACATTGTAAAAAGGTTTCTCTTGTATAGGATCTAAAAGGTCCTTACACTATATAAGACTAGCACCACCTGTTTTTGATAAAATATAATTCCTAATAAATTCATGTAAACGAGTTATATTATTTACAAAATTATTTTTCAAGATACATATTATAAAGACATGTGTCTGAAGAAGGTGTAAATATTTACAGATTAGTAACTAATTTTACGACAACGGCAGGACCATAAATTATCAACTATATAAAAAGCTATAAAACTAAATATATATATGTTGCAAATGATCAATGTTCAAAGAAAAGTTAAGATTGTAAATCGAAACGAGGACACAAAATGCCCCTGCATCCTATCGACGTAAAGATGACAATTAGTGCACCTCAACATCGTGGATGCAATTATAAGAATGTCCGTAGTGAATAGTAGTAAGTCAATAAGTAGGCGTGATTACATGTGCGTACTAATAAAAGCATAAGTCTTCAGCAAAAGCAAGAGAAAGTGCAACGGTAAAGAAAGCGGGAATCAGCACAAGCAAAAATGTGATATAATCATAATCAATACATTTCACAAGCACAAATTAGTCAATGTGTGAAAATATTCGACATTAATTTGACATACGTACTTACCATATTGACACAATGACGTGTGTGTATCATTTCACAAAATGCACGAATATCAATTATTGTTATTCAGTAATTATCTAATGCAATTCATGATTATTATTGACTTATAATAATAATTGAAAATAAAAATTGATAACATTTTTATATGACAAAGACTTGTAATATATTTTAAAAGAAATATGTATTGTTTGATACTTTATGCGTACGTATGTACTTATTCGTACAAAGAAACGTAGATGTTATTAGAAAAGACTGGAAATGTAAATATTAATCGTCGAATTCCTTTTTTTAAATAATATTTTACCGCAAGTTGTACAAAATAACGATTTATCACAAAAAACTTCAAAATTCATAAGATTATTTTTCATATTTTTACCTTTTTTGTACAATGTGGGGCACGATCTGACATTCTTCTTTGGCCGGTTATTGCAAAATAACTCTGTATATAAATTTTAGCTTATTAGTCTCCTTCTCCATATAATCTTTAGCCATGCCAAATTTCACACTCCTCCGTGCGCACAATACGAGGGCGACACTGAAAGTTTTTAGAAGTGGCCACTTGTAAACGATATAAAAAAAAAAAGTTCAAATTTTGAATATGGAACTCTGACAATATTATTGTGTATGTATTTTATTAATTTGTCATTAAAATGAAACTAATTTTTACGGATTATATCGCGTTGAATTTTACCTTTTTTAATTCCCGACTATTCGGGTGCTTTACAGCACCCATGGTCACGGGGGGGACTGAGGCGTTTGACGTCCCGATGTCATAGTTAGCCCGGCTACCTTCAGTTTTTTATATTAATTTTTGGTTCGATTTATGCAGAATAAGCTTACAGTATCTTGAAGTCTAGCAGATACTGTAGCAGTTTTAGTTTTCTCAGTGGTTTCATCGGATGTAGCGATGTATTGATGTAAATGGACACTATTTTGAAAAGATAATAAAACTAATAACTTGCTAGTTTGTTCAGTGTTTTATTTTCTAAGAACTTTCAGTGTCACCCTCGTATGTTTAAAAAGGGATACAAATTTTGTCCTCCACGTATTAATATAAATTTAAATAAAATATTACGGGTTGTTACAGAGTCACTTGCCCAATATAAAGGTGCATGCATACTTTGCGCCGGTGACTCCGCCCGTAGCGGGTGGTGGCGCGCGACCGCGCTACTGCCGCTGCTGCAACATCATATGAGAGCGGCTCTAGGGGCGCTGCACCTCGCCGTACATCGCACGTGAGTTGATACTTCCAGCCTCACATATAAGATACAAGCACGCAGCGCTACTGCCGCTGCTGCAACATCATATGAGAGCGGCTCTAGGGGCGCTGCACCTCGCCGTACATCGCACGTGAGTTGATACTTCCAGCCTCACATATAAGATACAAGCACGCAGCGCTACTGCCGCTGCTGCAACATCATATGAGAGCGGCTCTAGGGGCGCTGCACCTCGCCGTACATCGCACGTGAGTTGATACTTCCAGCCTCACATACAAGATACAAGCACGCAGCGCTACTGCCGCTGCTGCAACATCATATGAGAGCGGCTCTAGGGGCGCTGCACTTCGCCGTACATCGCACGTGAGTTGATACTTCCAGCCTCACATACAAGATACAAGCACGCAGCGCTACTGCCGCTGCTGCAACATCATATGAGAGCGGCTCTAGGGGCGCTGCACCTCGTCGTACATCGCACGTGAGTTGATACTTCCAGCCTCACATACAAGATACAAGCACGCAGCGCTACTGCCGCTGCTGCAACATCATATGAGAGCGGCTCTAGGGGCGCTGCACCTCGCCGTACATCGCACGTGAGTTGATACTTCCAGCCTCACATACAAGATACAAGCACGCAGCGCTACTGCCGCTGCTGCAACATCATATGAGAGCGGCTCTAGGGGCGCTGCACCTCGCCGTACATCGCACGTGAGTTGATACTTCCAGCCTCACATACAAGATACAAGCACGCAGCGCTACTGCCGCTGCTGCAACATCATATGAGAGCGGCTCTAGGGGCGCTGCACCTCGCCGTACATCGCACGTGAGTTGATACTTCCAGCCTCACATACAAGATACAAGCACGCAGCGCTACTGCCGCTGCTGCAACATCATATGAGAGCGGCTCTAGGGGCGCTGCACCTCGCCGTACATCGCACGTGAGTTGATACTTCCAGCCTCACATACAAGATACAAGCACGCAGCGCTACTGCCGCTGCTGCAACATCATATGAGAGCGGCTCTAGGGGCGCTGCACCTCGCCGTACATCGCACGTGAGTTGATACTTCCAGCCTCACATACAAGATACAAGCACGCAGCGCTACTGCCGCTGCTGCAACATCATATGAGAGCGGCTCTAGGGGCGCTGCACCTCGCCGTACATCGCACGTGAGTTGATACTTCCAGCCTCACATACAAGATACAAGCACGCAGCGCTACTGCCGCTGCTGCAACATCATATGAGAGCGGCTCTAGGGGCGCTGCACCTCGCCGTACATCGCACGTGAGTTGATACTTCCAGCCTCACATACAAGATACAAGCACGCAGCGCTACTGCCGCTGCTGCAACATCATATGAGAGCGGCTCTAGGGGCGCTGCACCTCGCCGTACATCGCACGTGAGTTGATACTTCCAGCCTCACATACAAGATACAAGCACGCAGCGCTACTGCCGCTGCTGCAACATCATATGAGAGCGGCTCTAGGGGCGCTGCACCTCGCCGTACATCGCACGTGAGTTGATACTTCCAGCCTCACATACAAGATACAAGCACGCAGCGCTACTGCCGCTGCTGCAACATCATATGAGAGCGGCTCTAGGGGCGCTGCACCTCGCCGTACATCGCACGTGAGTTGATACTTCCAGCCTCACATACAAGATACAAGCACGCAGCGCTACTGCCGCTGCTGCAACATCATATGAGAGCGGCTCTAGGGGCGCTGCACCTCGCCGTACATCGCACGTGAGTTGATACTTCCAGCCTCATATACAAGATACAAGCACGCAGCGCTACTGCCGCTGCTGCAACATCATATGAGAGCGGCTCTAGGGGCGCTGCACCTCGCCGTACATCGCACGTGAGTTGATACTTCCAGCCTCACATACAAGATACAAGCACGCAGCGCTACTGCCGCTGCTGCAACATCATATGAGAGCGGCTCTAGGGGCGCTGCACCTCGCCGTACATCGCACGTGAGTTGATACTTCCAGCCTCACATACAAGATACAAGCACGCAGTGCTACTGCCGCTGCTGCAACATCATATGAGAGCGGCTCTAGGGGCGCTGCACCTCGCCGTACATCGCACGTGAGTTGATACTTCCAGCCTCACATACAAGATACAAGCACGCAGCGCTACTGCCGCTGCTGCAACATCATATGAGAGCGGCTCTAGGGGCGCTGCACCTCGCCGTACATCGCACGTGAGTTGATACTTCCAGCCTCACATACAAGATACAAGCACGCAGCGCTACTGCCGCTGCTGCAACATCATATGAGAGCGGCTCTAGGGGCGCTGCACCTCGCCGTACATCGCACGTGAGTTGATACTTCCAGCCTCACATACAAGATACAAGCACGCAGCGCTACTGCCGCTGCTGCAACATCATATGAGAGCGGCTCTAGGGGCGCTGCACCTCGCCGTACATCGCACGTGAGTTGATACTTCCAGCCTCACATACAAGATACAAGCACGCAGCGCTACTGCCGCTGCTGCAACATCATATGAGAGCGGCTCTAGGGGCGCTGCACCTCGCCGTACATCGCACGTGAGTTGATACTTCCAGCCTCACATACAAGATACAAGCACGCAGCGCTACTGCCGCTGCTGCAACATCATATGAGAGCGACTCTAGGGGCGCTGCACCTCGCCGTACATCGCACGTGAGTTGATACTTCCAGCCTCACATACAAGATACAAGCACGCAGCGCTACTGCCGCTGCTGCAACATCATATGAGAGCGGCTCTAGGGGCGCTGCACCTCGCCGTACATCGCACGTGAGTTGATACTTCCAGCCTCACATACAAGATACAAGCACGCAGCGCTACTGCCGCTGCTGCAACATCATATGAGAGCGGCTCTAGGGGCGCTGCACCTCGCCGTACATCGCACGTGAGTTGATACTTCCAGCCTCACATACAAGATACAAGCACGCAGCGCTACTGCCGCTGCTGCAACATCATATGAGAGCGGCTCTAGGGGCGCTGCACCTCGCCGTACATCGCACGTGAGTTGATACTTCCAGCCTCACATACAAGATACAAGCACGCAGCGCTACTGCCGCTGCTGCAACATCATATGAGAGCGGCTCTAGGGGCGCTGCACCTCGCCGTACATCGCACGTGAGTTGATACTTCCAGCCTCACATACAAGATACAAGCACGCAGCGCTACTGCCGCTGCTGCAACATCATATGAGAGCGGCTCTAGGGGCGCTGCACCTCGCCGTACATCGCACGTGAGTTGATACTTCCAGCCTCACATACAAGATACAAGCACGCAGCGCTACTGCCGCTGCTGCAACATCATATGAGAGCGGCTCTAGGGGCGCTGCACCTCGCCGTACATCGCACGTGAGTTGATACTTCCAGCCTCACATACAAGATACAAGCACGCAGCGCTACTGCCGCTGCTGCAACATCATATGAGAGCGGCTCTAGGGGCGCTGCACCTCGCCGTACATCGCACGTGAGTTGATACTTCCAGCCTCACATACAAGATACAAGCACGCAGCGCTACTGCCGCTGCTGCAACATCATATGAGAGCGGCTCTAGGGGCGCTGCACCTCGCCGTACATCGCACGTGAGTTGATACTTCCAGCCTCACATACAAGATACAAGCACGCAGCGCTACTGCCGCTGCTGCAACATCATATGAGAGCGGCTCTAGGGGCGCTGCACCTCGCCGTACATCGCACGTGAGTTGATACTTCCAGCCTCACATACAAGATACAAGCACGCAGTGCTACTGCCGCTGCTGCAACATCATATGAGAGCGGCTCTAGGGGCGCTGCACCTCGCCGTACATCGCACGTGAGTTGATACTTCCAGCCTCACATACAAGATACAAGCACGCAGCGCTACTGCCGCTGCTGCAACATCATATGAGAGCGGCTCTAGGGGCGCTGCACCTCGCCGTACATCGCACGTGAGTTGATACTTCCAGCCTCACATACAAGATACAAGCACGCAGCGCTACTGCCGCTGCTGCAACATCATATGAGAGCGGCTCTAGGGGCGCTGCACCTCGCCGTACATCGCACGTGAGTTGATACTTCCAGCCTCACATACAAGATACAAGCACGCAGCGCTACTGCCGCTGCTGCAACATCATATGAGAGCGACTCTAGGGGCGCTGCACCTCGCCGTACATCGCACGTGAGTTGATACTTCCAGCCTCACATACAAGATACAAGCACGCAGCGCTACTGCCGCTGCTGCAACATCATATGAGAGCGGCTCTAGGGGCGCTGCACCTCGCCGTACATCGCACGTGAGTTGATACTTCCAGCCTCACATACAAGATACAAGCACGCAGCGCTACTGCCGCTGCTGCAACATCATATGAGAGCGGCTCTAGGGGCGCTGCACCTCGCCGTACATCGCACGTGAGTTGATACTTCCAGCCTCACATACAAGATACAAGCACGCAGCGCTACTGCCGCTGCTGCAACATCATATGAGAGCGGCTCTAGGGGCGCTGCACCTCGCCGTACATCGCACGTGAGTTGATACTTCCAGCCTCACATACAAGATACAAGCACGCAGCGCTACTGCCGCTGCTGCAACATCATATGAGAGCGGCTCTAGGGGCGCTGCACCTCGCCGTACATCGCACGTGAGTTGATACTTCCAGCCTCACATACAAGATACAAGCACGCAGCGCTACTGCCGCTGCTGCAACATCATATGAGAGCGGCTCTAGGGGCGCTGCACCTCGCCGTACATCGCACGTGAGTTGATACTTCCAGCCTCACATACAAGATACAAGCACGCAGCGCTACTGCCGCTGCTGCAACATCATATGAGAGCGGCTCTAGGGGCGCTGCACCTCGCCGTACATCGCACGTGAGTTGATACTTCCAGCCTCACATACAAGATACAAGCACGCAGCGCTACTGCCGCTGCTGCAACATCATATGAGAGCGGCTCTAGGGGCGCTGCACCTCGCCGTACATCGCACGTGAGTTGATACTTC